TCGAGCAGAAAGACGACAATTTTTCTGAGCTGCGCCATCGCTGGAGAACGCCTGCTTCCATGGTTTCCGCACATGGTTGCTGATCGTGTGTAGTTCTTCTGCCAGCTCTTCGCATACAGCTGGCCAACCGTCACATATGACGAAGCAATGTGCAAGAGAGATTTTTGTTGAAATACCGCTGCCCAAGGTCGTTCAACACAGGGGTGAAATTGTTGATTGGTTCATCCTTAAAGCCCAGGTAGTACCGTTTCATAACCAAATAGTACCTCGGAAAGAGATTGAAACTTCGTAGTATAACATTGACTAGTGTCTCAGGGATCTGCAGCTTTCGTATACCAACCTTGTTGAGTGTTTTATGTCTGTTTATGACAAATTGGCATTGCTTAGGGTCCTCGGCTAGTATGCATGTGTTCATGTCGCCGGGTTTTGGGTCGAACTCCACGGCTTCTTCCTTCATAAGGATTCGACAACTGCCAAACTCATTTCTTAAAGGCCCGAGAGGCATCGTATACAGGCTCAATATCAGATAATTATTGACAATTTCCTTGTCAATGCGTGTCATTGCTCGGCTATTTTTGAACTTGTCAACGATCGTTCGTTTGATGATTTGATCAAGGTCATCTCTTACATTGACAATCTGATTCCACGGAACCCACATTTCAATCTCTTTAGGGGATTTTTTCTGCATCGTTCGATCGAGTTCATCCTCACTGGGTTTCTTTGCTTCAATATAGTCACTAAATGCTTTGTGTGCGTCATCGAAGCCCATCTTTTGGGCCAGAATCGAGAAAGGTGCTGCATAACAACTTTTTGTGAGCCGTTTGATGGGTTCCCCCTTTGTATCTAACAAGCCTTCGATCGCTTCAATTATCGTTTCGTGAGTGCCAATCCAATCAATGGACATGGAATCATTCAATTGCTTGTTGGGATTGAGGATAGTGTATATGTTGCGAATCTGGCGGAGATACACGTTAACGGTGGATTCAGTTCTTGATGTTGGACTTGAACCATCTCGGCCTGCCTTAATCTTGAGCATACTCCTTAGGTTTGGTAACTCTAGCAGCAATGCTTTACGTCGATTGTGTGGCAAAGTGTGGATAACTCTTGTGGACATTGGTAGCTAGCAGCCGGCTCACTTAAGCTTGACTTATCAGTGGAAATTATTTCTCAACGAAAAAGCGAGTGTTGCTCATATGCGTTCGAGGTTGAGTATCTTGTTATCGAAGCTTAGCTTTCCACAGAAGTTGCTAAAGTTGCTTCCACTCATTGGTGTCAGCGGGTCCGACACCGATGCTATGAGATACCCACGAGGGATAAGCTCCAACGTTCTAGCGAGATACTTACAAAACATCTTGGGAAGCTCATACACCTCCCCTTGCTTTCTTAGTTGAAATATCTGTTTCGATCGGCTAATCTGGATAAGGGCGTCGATGTTATCATTATGCACCTCCCTCTCGTTTTTAAAGAGAATGGGTAGATGATACAATTTAAGACCACGCCTCACGTTTGGCTTCATTAGAAGGTGCCACTCGACCAGCACATGAATCATGATGGTCTTCACATCTTTTCTATCAAGGCCGTCTGCATCCAGCGATCGAACCCTTCGGGCCAGCTCAGCACCAAAATGTTCAACATCTTCTCGGGACATTTCATGAAACCTTCGTCGAATCATCCGCATTTTCGACCGCTTGCTTCTCACGAAGTTCCTTTAACGGCTTATTGTCCTGTTTGAACGGCCGAAAGTACGTTTGATAAGCCTCCGAGTACTCAAGCTTCTTACAAGCTGCAAGGAAAGGGGCCAGACGTGTCCTTCGGGAGCCATTGTTGTCGTATCTCTCATGCACGAGTTGAGTGAAGGCTGGTGCATCTGATTCAAGGAACGTCAGGTCGAGCGTGCTAGGAAGTGGACGATTATGGCACAATTCGTCGACGAGGGCAATGCCCCTTATATATTGATCCACGGATGCCTGAGAACGAATTTTGTCAGTGAACAAACTGCGCAGAGCATCCATAGTTATAGCTACTATAGTAGAAATTTGACAATAAATTTCACACAACCAGACATAGCAACTCCATTTATATCAAACCTCTCTGTCAAGAAATTATGACAAGAAAAAGTAGTACGAGGTTTACGTCTTGATCAATGCTATCGGCAGAGGCAAAATGTTGAGAAAAGTGCACTTTTCTCAAACTGATAAGTAATTACTTAAAAGAGCGTTGTCAGAATTCAGTAGCTAAGCCTGTAGCAGAAAACAAATCGTAGTCAGACAGAAATATATAACGGTCGATTTACCATCTACAGCAAACGCGTGTGAAGCGCCACTTTCAAGAGGGGGGGCAGTTCTTTGACAGCTGAGTGGATCTATTGCACGTTTATATCAGAGCACTCGGCCCGTCTGAAATTGGAAACATGAAAAGCTACTCATGCAATACACACAACCGATAGCAAAATCTTTTTGTTGTGGTAGTAACATATGATACACCATGACGCCGACAATCAGGTCGTTCCGAGTACAAGCAGCTTTTGATGGTAGTTGTAAGGTGGACTTGACCGACAAAGTTCGGAGCAGCCGGCTCCAAATCAAGTGTGAAAGTGGTCGCCCTCTTCAAGCAGGCGCCAGAATCGGTTCCGCCTTGTATCGGAGCTTGAAGTTGGAAGCAACTAAGACATGCCGACCACCTTTGGTGTACTACGTTCTACAAGCAGAAACTACTCGTGGATCCAAAGGAAAAGTATTTGCATATCAGATCAACATCGAGACCTTGAAGAAGGCCGAACAACCAACGGGTATTGCTTTCGCCGGGACCTACCGAACAAAGACAAGAAAATTCTGCGTCGACACGATGTCGAAATGGACTTCTTGTAGCACAAGGAAACATAAACCGCTATCATCAAAAACCACTAGCAAACATTGCTCTGATACAGAGGAGTCATCAGATGACGAGTCACAAGTTGACGCAGGACCTAACCACAAGACTTAAGGGCCGTCAAAGTCAGTGAAAGAATCTAATAAGAGTAATACGCCGTCTAAGAAAGCTAATCCAAAGATTCGGAAAGCAACATGATACACGTTGTGATTCCGGGGTCACATTTCAAAAAGCAGACTATGCTCACCGTTAAAAAACGTATTCGGTCAGCCCTATTTTTGTTGACGTAAGTATATGCAGAGGTAGTGCCCCGATTGCCAACAATGGGAATGATCATCTCTGAGTCCAATGATGACACCCTATTTGATAAGAAATTTGACTTGTCTCGATGCGAGAGCCTATCAAACGGCACCGGGGTGAAGTACTATCCATTTGTTCTACAAATCGGGCTCTCGTTGCAAAGCACGGATATTATTGGTATTGAACTAGGCCTTCTCATTCGCAAAATAGTCGACATGCAAGCAGATGCGACCAATTTTACGTTAGGCAATCTTCATGAAAAGCTCATGTGCATGTTGATTAAACCGGCGGAGCATTATCAAAGTTACACGCTTATTGTTGAAGATGCAATATTCAGCGTACTTAAAGTCGAAACATTATTGAGGCACGCAGCGAGCTACTTGTTGATTGATGGAGCTAATATCAAAGCGGATGAGATTGCAAGCTTAATACAGGCAAAGCTTGAAAAGTGTACCAGCCCGGCCCATGTAGCTTGACAACCTGTCTAAGTGTTTGACGTCATCAGGCCACTGTAGTTGACCGCATTCATTGTGTTAGGACCAGTCCAAGCTGTCCAAGCTTTAGTTCAAATATTTCTGATCGCGAAAATGCTGACCTCATCATGCCATTGTAATTAACCGCATTGATTGTGTCAGGACCAGTCCAAGCTGTCCAAGCTTTAGTTAAAATATTTCTGGTCTCGAATTGACGACGTCATCAAGCCACTGTAGTTAACCGCGCATGGATTGAGTCAGGGCGAGTCCAAGCTGTCCAAGCTTTAGCTCAAATATTTCTGGTCGCGTATTGATGACGTCATCAATCCACTGTACTTAACCGCGCATGGATTGAGTCAGGGCGAGTCCAAGCTGTCCAAGCTTTAGCTCAAATATTTCTGGTCGCGTATTGATGACGTCATCCAGCCACTGTAGTTAAAACGCGTTGATTGGATGGACAGTCCGGCCCACATCGGTAGACGCCTTAAACAAATATCCATGGTAGATACTTTATTTTTGTGGCCGTGAAATGCTGACGTTATCTTGAAAGTTGTAGAATTCATGTGCCGTTGCGCTTAGACACTATGTATGCTGCAAACCTTTAATGAACTCTTTTCACAATGGCAGACCATTCTCTTCAACAACAACGTACTAAACCAACATGAGGCTTTTGGAACTCATAAACAATAATCTCATCATTGAAAGCCGTATGTACGCGAATCAATTGTACAATTATTTACAAGTCATACCAAACTAGAATACATACGCAACGAGCGCCCCGATTGCATTTGACAACCACCTTGATTCAATTTGTCTAGCGCGTTGTGCAAGCCTCAAAAACCTATCAAATTACATACTCGCACTTGATCTTCGGATAGTAGAGCTGTCGCGGCGACTCGTTGTTCTTAAGCCTCTTGAACCCCTTCTTTTCCATCCTCCTCGCCAATTCTTCATTGGAAAATCTTTCCGAGGAAAACTCGCGATAGAGGGTGGCAAATTCGATCTGCAAAGTCGAAAACCCTTCTCCAACCTCGCAATGATGGTCGAGAAATTTCTGCAGCTTGTCCGCCTCGCCCACGTACTCACGCGTCGCGTCCTTCACCGCCTTGGGAGGAGGCCCAAGTCCGTTCGCACTGGAGTACCACTCGACCGAACCGCGGGCTATCCACGAAAGCACTTGTCGAAGGGACTCTTCCTCCTTCATGCGATCTTTCAACCCGTCATCTCTGAGGCGGTGGGTTGCATTGGAGGGATTGAAGGTGTCCGCGCCCACATAGCTGTTGGGGAACGGGATCACTCGCAGGCGGCGCGCAACATTTTCCTTGATCGCCGTTGCAGCCATTGCGGGAGGGTAATTCGTCTGAACGAAGGGTGTGTGGGTGATGGTGAAGTCGACCGGGTTTGTATAGAGACAGCGCGCCTTTGTCGTGCCCGGGCCCCCGGTCATCGCTAGGACAAGCCCCAAATCCACCCGCTCGCCCTCTGCCGTCTCATCAGTGACAGCGAGCCGCACGCCCATCAAGTCGTAGATGTAGTTGGTAGGGGCGTTCTTCGAGGAGGGCTTCTGGCCGGGAGCTGTAACCACCGCGTCCTTCGACATGGTGCCATAGTAACCACCGGTCGCGGCCTGCAGCATCTCCTTCAAGACCCCCTTCCCATTTCCTGCACAAGGAAATGTGGAAAGTCAAGACGAAATGCGGCAAAAAAGGACAGACTCTTCAACTACGAGCGAGCCTCAAGGTGCGCTCTTGGGGTCCTAGCCGACCAAATCTGGCCCCCACGGTAACGGCCGCACCTCATGCTAAAAACGAGATGCATTTCCGGATTTCAGAGGCAAAAAGGAGTCCAATTGTTTTGTGCAATTCTAAGCAGGTGGCTCAGACCAGTAAAGCATGTGGCCAGTCGGTCAGAATGCGACACAAAAAGACTCAAGTGACTCGATCGGTCTTTTGCGTGTCCGCACCTGGCACACTTGGCAGGTTCGAAAACAGCAAAATCAGCCACCGAAGTCGAGAGAGTTGAGAGTCGGAATCAAATTGTAGAGAGTCTTGGCGGGGTCGCCTTTTCAGACAAACAAGATGGATGAGGATCTTACAGAGACAGTCATCTCGCTTTTCAACCTGCAAAACATGTTGGGACCTCGAAAAGCACACGACTTGGACCTCACCTCCAGCTCCAAGCAAAAGCACGAAGATCTCCTCTCGGGTATGGCCGTTAAGAGCGTAGCCATACAGTTTGCGCACGTAGTTTGTCAGCTCTGAGTCATGGTTGAAGATGTCGCTCATGAAGCCATCGATGCGCGGAGTCGGGTACTCCAGCCCCTACACAAGGAGACGATATGAGGACCTCGAAAAACATGAGTATATACCAGCTCCTTGCCTTCCACAACACAGCAAAGCGAGGAACCGATGGCGTCCGACAGCAATCCAAGGAGGCAAATGCACAAACGATGCAAATCGAATCGAGACTGCCAGCTGCGAAAGACTAATGCGCTAACGGCTTTGTTGTGACGGTTGGACAGGGTTCACACGCTGCCTGTCTGCTTCACATGTGCGGAAACCATGCAAAGCTTCTCAGCACGCCTTGGGATCACCTCAGCAAGAGCGCCTCTCAGAAAAATTGCGTCTTCTTGCCTTCTTCCCCAAAGACTGATTAGTTA